GCCCGCCCGCCAACCCCCCTCGGCGCCGCGACCGCGGCCCGGGCCGGCGGCGTCACGGGCCGTTTGTGACAGCTCTGCAAAGCCGCCGCCGAGGTCATGGTGCGGGCGGCCAGCGAGCACCGGGGGGGAGGCCGCGCTGCCGGCTTGAGGCGCGGTGTAATCTCGGTTCAAGGAGGCAGTGCGTGACCTGCGCGGGCAGCCTCGGGGCGCTCGGGGCAGGCGCTCGGAGAGAGCCTGGCGTTCGGGCTGCGGCGCCGTACAGCCGTTTCCAGAGAGCCGGGCGACCTGCAGCGGGCTGCAGGGCACCTGCCTTCCTGAGGGATTCACCTGCAGGTCGCCGGGAGCAGGTCGTTTGTCCTTAAGGTTCGGGATTCTTTGTCTAACGGCAGCCTGCAGGAAGCTAAAGGGAGGGCAGCATTTGCACTGTGAAATCTTAGCGGAAGACAGCGTTTGTTTCTGGAAAAATTTCTGATTTCCTGTAGTGGGATTTTTTTTTTTTTCTCCTTAGGATTTTCATTTCCTCAGTCTTACTGCTTTGAGTAGGCTCACTACTGTTTTTCCTTGCTTTCATCAGCAGGGTATAATGAAGCATCATGTCAAGGAATACACTGCCTTGCTCTGTAAAGAAAACTCAAAACATGGAGAAGCATCACAGCACAAATTCTAAAAAAAATAATACTGGGGAACCAGTCTCTGAAAGAACATGAAAACATTTTGGTTCATATTTTCTCTCTCTTTAAGCTAAACCTTCCAGTATACATAGATCAAAAGCACTGTTCACTGACCCTCACTGTCTTTCTAAAACCTGATAGAAGTGTTCCCTCTCAACCAGTATCTCTCACCTTGAGCTTCAGTGGGCATAATGGAGACATCCCAAAATTAAAAAGGAAGTTGTAGAGCTACAGTTATTTCAAAATCAGGGCAGCCCTTACTTGCCTTCAGCAAGGTGTCCCCAATTAACTTGGGCCTTGTATTACTGCTCTTGCGGATGTGGTTCTGCCATGCCCACTGAGTGTATGTCAAATCTCCTCACCGAGACCTTGATCTCTGCCTGTTTTTCCAGAGCTTTCCTCTGACTCTTCCCTCCAGCTCACTATGTACCTAACTGGTAGTTTTTAGCTAAACGACGTCATGCTTTGGAACTTACCAAATGGACATCACAAAGATCCTGACTGTAATTCACAGGAGCTATTTAATCCAAATCATTCCACAGACATTATTTACAGAGAAGTAAATCAGCCGCTAATTAAATACAAGGAATCAATCAGATGCTGATTTGAAAGAAAACAGATTGAAACACAGCATGTGGAAAATATTTAAAATGTGAAGACTGAACTGTCAATAGTCTCATGAGGACCAGTGTTCAGACAGTACTTGAAGTTCATTAATATCAAAATTGGTATGTTACACATCAAAGGGTATCAAATTTTTCTGACAAGTACTACCTGAGGTTTGGAAGCCTAAACAGAGACATTAGTGGGAGAAGCATAAAGAGGGAAAGTTGTTTTTACAGACCTTTTATGAATTTAACAATGCTGTCCAATCCCCTTTTACCAGCTGGAAATGAGAAACTGCAATAATCATATAGGCTTATAATAATCCATCCTCAAGGTGGTACCAGGTCACTCGAACACCGTTGTCCTCCAGTCTCTTCTTGTAAAGCAAGCCGTCATCCCTCAGCACATCATACTCACAAGTCAACATGAAAGTCTCAGGCAGCTGCTGAATAAGAGCATCTCCGGCTAACAGCGGACACAGGTTGGGCTCACAGAATCTTTTCACTGTCTCATGAACTTCGGTTGTACAGTCAAGAAGCACATGTGGTTTGTAGCCTCTGACCTTAAATTTTTCGGGGATGTTATCTGGACTCACCCAGTTCCTATAATTTAATTTAATATCTATAGGAATATGGGAACCCTCCAAGACCTCTTCCAGATTTGATGCATTCCCATTTAGGTACTGTAACATGTAGAAAGCGGCACGTTCTCGGAATAAGAGAGGGACTCCCCGATTCTGCTGATAGGATGGTAAATTGAAGTCCAGTGCCTGAAGGCCTGGGTAGATCAAGATCTGAGCCCGTAGTTTGGGGAGGTCTGATCTACCAGCAAGGGTCTGGCTAACAGCAGCTGCTAGATTGCCCCCAGCGCTGTCCCCACAGATAATTATACGGGCAGGATCCACACCATAGTGCTCGACATTCTTCATAAAGTGTATGGTGGCATTAAGACAGTCTTCATACGCAGCAGGGTATTTGTGTTCAGGAGCTAAACGATACCTAATACACAAAAGGAGACAACAAAAGTACGAGAAGGAAATATTAGTTTTAAAAGTATTGCTGAAAATACTGGTTCGTGCCACCAGCAATACCCTGATTACCTCAGAATTTTCCTGTTCTCCACAAGTTGATCATAAATAAACTGTGGCTAGTTGGACCAGGTGGTGCAGATTAACTTGTTAGGATATCGTCTGTTTAGGATGTTTCTCAGGTCTTTAACAGCAGAGGAGTACTCAGCTGCCAACTATGTCTAAGTTTTATTGACAGTCATTTAGTTGTTTTATGCCTCAGCTTTCTGTGGGTTAGATACAAATGACAAGACTTCTGTTTTATGTCATTGTTACAGTGCAACTATATCCTCATAATTCAAATCATTATGTCTGTATATTGATGATATTAGCTTGTCATTCATGCTTCTGTAAGCATCAAGCAGAGTTTCCTTGAATAAGGATTAAGTAGAATATATGGCTTACTATCTGTTTACTCTCAATTTTGAGTTTGGAATTTGAAAACATTGATTCAAAACTTCATTTTCCAGCTAGATATCTCAAAGCATTTTTTGTGATGTAGTCAGACAGTGAAAACTTATCCTGAGTCAGTCTTCAGTTGCTCCAAACAGGAGCAGAGTGAATTTGTAAATCACATGCTTGACAAGTTCCACAGAAACGTTTCTCTGAGAATGGTTGTGGCTATGATCAGGCAAGCTATAACATGGTATTTACATTAGAGGAAATGATCTCTAGAAAACAGCATGAGGAAAGACTCACCCAACAGATACAACCACTGATTCACTTTCTCTGGCAATAGAGCGGCATAGCTTTTCATGGGTCTCTGAAAGAAACATATTTGGTGAGGTTTGGGTTTGGTTTGGTTTGGTTTTTTGACAGAGTACTAATGTTTTGTATTGCGTAAGTTAAAGAATTGCAAGAAGAACATACTCTCTACTTTTCTCTGCCCCTTACTACATAAGTCCTCAGATCTTTTGTACCCCCTCATTTTCCTGTTTCAGTATTTGCTTACTGTGTTTTTTCCCCTCATATCTCATTATCATTGTCTATAAGAAAAATCACATAATGCACAGCAGATGCTTTCTTCTGACAGCAAGACTTAGCAGAGTGCATCTGTGGTTATACTCAAACTTTATAACTGCTACAGATCAAGCGACAATCAACTTTACCCCTTATGAAGTAGATACTTCTTTACCTAAATTGTAATATTTTTTCCATTAGGTATCTTACCAAGACTTCCAAAAACCCATCCTCCTCCATGGAAAAACATAACTCCTCTCCTTTGGCTGGCAGATGGAACCTTAGGCTGATAAATCCTTACAGGCACTTTCTCAAACCACAGGTCCTTGATGAAGAGCTTCGGGTCCACTCCTAGAGTCTTTCTACCTTGCATGTACCGGACAAAGCTAACCTGACTGCAGATGCCAATATTTTCCAAAATCTTTCCCTGTTCAAAGGCAAAGAGAATAGGGAGTTTGCTCAAGAGATTTAGTATTTTCCAAAGTAAAGGAACTGTATGGGCAGTATCCTCGTGATGTCTAAGTCGTATATTTTAGGGTGATCATAAAATATTTGAGTAGTTGTACAGGTATAGTACAACTGAACAAATAACAGTAGCATCATGACAGGTCACATGAACAGCAGTGTTCACTGAAGAACATAATCCCAAAACAATGCAGCATTAACAAAGGCTGGTGAAATATATCCCTTTGCTTTTTCAGCAGATCCTTTAGCTAACACTGAAAATGAGTTTGGTTTTCACTGGTTATTCTGTCCTTGCCCTTGAGAAGGTGTGAAAACATAGTGAAAGATGGTAGTTCTGGTGCTGATTTTCATTATATGGACACTTTCCTGAAGTAGAGTTGACTAAGTTGAGAATATATTTGATAATTGCTTTTTGATTCATCTTGGAAGTCTTCACTGATGTCTGCAATGCACTGGCAAGAAGATCCTCATATACTTAGTAGGCCTAAATTTCTATTCTTTCTGTATGCCATAGTGATATTCATGCTAGCCACCAGAAGATGAAAAGAATACAAATCAGAGCTACTGGTCCAACATAACTTCGTAAAAATTTTTAAAAAGCATAACCTCTGCTTTGAAATATATTATTTAGTCATGCCAAACCAGTAGTTCAGTCCTTATGAAGGTTTGGATCAAGCTCTTAATATTCAATATTTTGTTATGAATATTTTTTATTAGACTGCCACATTCATATGGATTGTCAATACACTGTTATGACTCTCAGTATGTTTACCTGTGAAAGACCTTCTCTTCAATGACTCCGGCTATTTATAATGTTCTCCATGTGTGATTTTGAGGCTGAAGAAACGAATACATTTTGCAACATACTGATTTTAATTCATTATAGAAACTAGTCTTAGTGTCTCTGATTGTATACAAACATGATAAAATTATTTATTCTTTTGTATTTGCTGTTTTCCAAGCAGAAATGGAACAACTACAAATAATATTCTCACCTTTACATTCAACTTGCTTGGTTTCTTTCATCCTGCGTTTACATTGCAGCATAGAATTCTGGTTTATGGTACTAATGGGCAGTGTATAGGTGATAAAAAGAGAACTGGCTTTTCCAGCTGCTTAAGCGAAGTAGTCTCTTTCTAACTACAACTTGTGTGCAGCCAAAGCATGAGAATATATTTCTAGAATTCTTTACTATGGTCCACTATAATCTAGAATATTTCTGACAGATTTTTTTTTTTTTTTTTTTTTTAAATAGTTTGTCCCTCTTGGAAGTATTTAAGTCATTTTTTAAATATATGCACAACTTCTGCTATCTCATGTATTTCGAACACCTTCTATCATCACAGCATCTATACATCTATCATTACATGGAAATACTCCTGATTCAGTGAGATCCTTTGTCAGCAGAGATCACCAGAAGTTGAGTGCTGGTAAGAGCTTCAACTCTTGTGGATTGGGTAGCTTCCCACTCTTTTACAGGCCAGTTCGCCTGCAGAAGTTGGGCTGCCCAGAGCCCCTCATTCCCATCAGACAAGCCTGCTTAGTTGCTGCAGGACTTCCATCAGGGGAGATGGAATTCCTTCAGCTCCTCTTGGGCAATGTTACCTAATTTTGTCACTTGTGTGACAAAAACTCCCCCTTCCCAAAACCAATTCTGAAATGTTCAGTTTCTAATTTTATCTTCAAAATAAATACATAACTCCTCAAACCCAAGTCCCAGAAAAACTTGAAAGCATGGCCCAAAGACATCTGATATATTCTGAACCTAGAATGGAAATAAAAATGATCCAACATGTATAAGCATTCTTAATCAAATTATTGCTAGGTTAGTACCATTCATTGTAGAAGCACAGTCAGACTTTCAAATGTTTGTGTTAGGCAGTGTTTGCATACTGCCTAATGTAAGAGCTAGGCAGGACTGTAATAATGCAGTGTAGTGTAAAAAAATCTGGTAAAGGTTTACTTAGCAAAACTGAGCTTCTAAATACAACATGCAGCATGATAGCAATGCCCTGCTCTTCTCTCTGAAAATTAATTCCAAGCAGGGTTCTAGCATTGCATTAAGTTTAAAATCTACAGGTTCACCGTTCTTCCCCCCAGAAATCACACCAGGTTAACTTACCACCACAGCTCTGCTTATTAAAATTATATGAATGATTCGGAGCTTTACAGGCTGATTCACTCCAGGAGGAATTTCTGAGTTGGAGAAATCAAAATTAATTGCCCCCATGACCAACAATATAAGTCCAGCAACAAAAACTGCTAAGAATAACACCAGCAGTGTGTATACAACTGCCATTTTGCTGAGCAGCAAAGTGATCTGAAATGTCTTTGATTTGACTTTCCTGGATATCTTTGGCTTGTTACTTCCTGATTCTTTGTTTGTCATA